TAAAACTCTTTTTCCGGTCCTGGCAAACAAAACCTGGTTCAAGTAGTTGCAAAAGTTCCAGCAATGAAGCATTGTTCTTCTAATGAGGAAAAACATTCGAGGGATGCCGATATTGTAAACCAAAGGGTAACCTGACAAAGTTGTGGTTTCTCTAGCATCAGCTGCTCCAGGCATGTGAACAAAAGTCTCAAACTTTAATGTCGCTTTACATTGTTGGCATCGATGACAAACAATTCTGAAAAATGTCCAGGTGTGCATGAGCCTCAAAGTTGGTGAAAGTCAAACTCCTGAAACAAATGTTTAGTTGTGGCAACCTCAAATCTTCCCCCGGTTGGGAGCCAAACCAAGTGGTGAGGGAATGAAAAAGTTGCGTAGTTCTGTACAGATTCACATCAGTTGAGTCTCATTCTCCGGACTCTTTCCAGAGGAATGATCTTCTGTTCCAGGTCTGGACTGGTTGTCGTCACACACCAGGTAGATGGCCTTTTCAGGGAGGTTTTTGGCATCGGCTGAATTGCAGATGTTGGACCTCCCACAAAGGCGCCCAAACTGGTTGACCTCTCGTTTGAAGGTCTTGCTGAAGATATAGTAGATGAAGGGGTTGTACACTGTGGACGATTTGGCGAACAGACACGGTAACATGCTGACTTCAGGGGGGATTGAATCAGCCGGACGGTAGATCGACCAGAGGCTGACGATGCCGTATGGTACCCAGCAGCCAACAAACCCAACGCTGATCAATACTGCAATCTGTGAACACAAAAAACACACTTAGAGAGTATCTATGACTACTGGCAAGGCAAGTACTTATACCCGCACAAAGTATGAAGCCTACGGACACGTTATCCTATATTTCCACCAATTGATTTTGAAGTTGCGATGTCAATTAGCTGCCCAGTTGCAGGCACTGGTCTCTACAAGCTTCACCCAGCTATTTTAGCTCCAGTGAGCTTCCATCCATTGGGGATTTCAAAGAGCACCCCACCTTCGCCACAAAGGGTCACTTCCTGGCTCTTGGATACAGATGCCATGCTCTCCAAATAAGCCTTGCGTCACCAGACTAATTAGAAGTATGGCAAACTGGTGAATTAAGTTATCGTATGAGGACAGCAAGTGGTGGAGTTGGTCATCCTATAACCATCCGGAGGGTTGGCGATTCAATCCCTGCCAGGTCCATTCTGCCATTGTGCCTTGGGCATGCCACTTCACCCAGATTGCCCTGTGTGACTGGGTGTATTTGTCAGACTAGCACAGGCCAGCTGCGGGCTACCAAGGGAGCTTATCACCACCAGTGTGTGCAACTGATTCATGCAACTGATTGAGGAATCTGCTTTTTGGAGTGCAAATCTAGAGGACTGCTGTGGCTACCACCAAAAAGTCATTTACAACTGCCTGCTACAGTGCCTTCATGTCAATTGGCAATCAAGAACTTTGGCAAAGAACAAGGCAACAGCCAATCAACAAAGCAATTCTCATAAGATGCTGGAGATGGATTGGCTACACTCTACGAAAGCCACCCTCCAACACCACCAGACAAGTCCTTATGTGGAACTCACAAGCAAAGGAAAAGAGGCAGGCCACTTAGTGCCTCGACCTGAATGAGGATTGCAGGAAGAAAGGCCACACTTCTGGTGAGCTAAGAGCAACAGCCTCAGGGAAGAGATTCTTGGAGGACATTTTTTTGGAGGCTCATGCCACTGCCAATAAAAGTTTGGTGCCTGATGTAAAAGAGCCGCTTAGTGGCGGACCACCCCATATTTTCATAGCGTCTTCATGCAGGAAACAGGAAAAATGTCACGCCACAAATCCTCGATTTTTCTCCACATTTTTGTCAACCACTCGACATCCACAATTATTTCTGTGTTCTTTGATTTCTTTTCTATCAACGTCTTTTTCTTGCGTGGTTGCCTTTGCTTCACCCGTTGTACTGTGAACGCCATCTTCAGGCAGGGAGCGTTATTACACCTCCTTGACGCAAATGAAGAACACCCTTCTGAGAAGCCTTTTGAAGAGTCGTGTGATTCTCAATTCAGATCAGTGTAGAGGCCTTAATGCTTACCTGCCAAACCCGTTTCCATACAACATGGTTTCTCATCGCAGCAAACTCGTGAAATGTACATTTCGCCTAGTTCAAAGTTGTTGTTTGCAACTGGGGTCCATCTTAATTTTCATATTGATAGTCCATACAGCACTTCAAAACACAAGTACGTGAGGACAGAAAAATAGCCAAACCAAATCATAAAGAACCTTGTCTATAGAATACATCAGGGTCTTGGAACAGCCTTCAGATGCTGTGCAGTGTGTCTGTAAGAACACACACTAATAAAGCCATGGAGGGATCATAGAGACGATGAGAATTGACTCATTTACAGTTTAAAGACCGTTACCTTCGGAAGGTCACGTAAAGACCTTGATTCTGAATGTAACAATCATCTCTTTTTAAAGAGTTAGCGTGTTTGTTAACACGAGATTCGAAAAGAACATGTTCAGGTTGTGCTTGAGGCCACTGTGATTTAAGCTTAAAGGCTAAGCGTTTGTACCAGATGTAACACAAAGAAAGGTATTTAGCTTCTGCTCCAGGAATTGACAGCAGATGGGGATCCGGGATTTCTTCAAAGCTCTCGAAAGGGATCGACCGGATGTTTTACACACTCCCAACAGAGTCAAGGGAAGATTTTTACACTGTGATTTTTATCATTGAGTGTATTGAGATTCAATTAAAAGATGCATGTTTTATATCAATTTGTATTAATACACCCTTCGTCCAATTAGAATCCACATTTCATTCATAGATTTACGCTAAAGTAAAAATGTTATATTTTATTTCTCATTTAATCTCAGTGGCTAGTTTTGAAAAGTAAAAACTCTGTCATAGATCTATGATTGGTTAAATGTGAGTTATTTAGTAAATGCATTGGATAGTTCTTATGCGCTCTATACATTTGCAGTTGCAGCACGACTTATCATGTATGAACCAGCCAGATCCAGAATCAGACGGAAAAAAGTCTCTGGTATAATGTTTAAAATATTATAAATTGCACACATAATGAACTAATAATAAAAAAACAACCAACACAGCATTGAGAAATCAAATGGACAAACACAAACCAACAAAACAACGAAAAAGTTTTTTTCACTATTTTCGTTAAATCAATTCCATAATAATCCTAAAATTGTACCAAAAAAAACAGTTCTGAATTTGTTTCATTTTGTACTGAAAAAAGAATAAACAGTTTTTATGTTTTATATCAAAAATCAAGTGTTAAAAATTTCAGAAATCCCCCAAAAAGCAAAGACAAGGTCAAATCAATGTGAAAACTGTATTTAAAAAACATTCCATTGTGCTTTTTATGGCAGAACTTTGAAAAACACAAGCAAAATAACAGGTATTGTACTTCAAAGGGTTAACCCTTCTTCTCACCACTAGATGGCACCAATTTGGGGTTTGTAAAACGGAACTGAAAGATGTTTATTTCAGTTTGAATTACCTTGCAAATTATGAGTCATAACTTTTGTAATGTTCATTTAAAACAAAAAATTATCAAAGATAATTACCTCTTTGAAACCTGCTTATTATATTTGAAATCAAAAATAATCTTTGATTAAATCTGTAGTATATGTTTGTGTTTTAATTGTAGTCCAAGCAGAATAATTGACTCCGTACTATTCACTAATAAATCATAGGAAAACTCAATGTTCTGCAATCCCTTTTTCTTGAAAAGCACGTCTGACTCACCAGCATGAGTCTCCGCTGCATCCTGATCATGTTTGGAATGTGATTGCTGTCGTCCATGTTCTTGTATGTGACGTAGAGTCTCAGTGCGATGCCAGAGTAACAGGAAATGATGATGAGGGCCGGCAGCACCAGGTTCATGAGGAAGATGGTTATGATGAAAGACTGGCTGTGCTCCTTCATCTCCCTCCAGGCCAGCGTGCAAGACAGGCCAAAAGATTCCGGGCCATACTTTCCCCAACCAATCAGAGGAAAGATTGCCCAGAGCAGAGCGTACAACCATGTGGCGGCCACCAGGAGCTGAGCATTCCTCTTGCTGATCTTCTCCTCTGGGAAACAAAGAGAATTCATGTCAAGTTCTCTTGCTGAAGTACTTCACTGGTGGCTCTAAAGAAACCTCTCTCACTAGTTTTCTTCTTTTCTTTCCTTCCTCTGCTCGTTTTGTTCTCCACTGTGTTGGCCTCTTTAAACCTCATGATAATGCTTCTCCTGGCAATTCCTTCTCCATCTTTATGAGCATTAAAATGCCTTCTCTTGAGTCCAAACGAATCTCTTTTGTCATGACGTCAGGCATAATATTCTACTATTTGTTTTGCAAGATACTAATCCTCAACTATAAGTGCCGCTTAAAACTAGTGGAATCATGCAAATTAGGTCAAATTAGACAGCAGTGTTTTTTTTCAATAAGCTAATAAAGGTAATAATAATAATATTTACCTTTGCAGGTTTGTTTATTTAAGCAACTGCAAAAAAAATTGTAAACATAGTAAAGCTGCAAACAACGATCAAACGGCTTGGCGGCCATTTTACTGCACAACGACCAATCACTATGTAGAATATTTATTTGAGCAAGAATTGTCAAATAATACTAAACAATTAAAAATAAAAAAATGAAAACCTAAACGTGTCATGATCTCCAGGTGGCGCTGTGAATGACTTCTGTTATTGTTTTGCCCAATATTCTTGTCGCACTGTCAAAATTAGTGAAGAGTGGAACCTTATAAATGGTAAATGTTGTATTTCCGGTGGACAGCTGGTGGCGCTACAACCGATAGCATACATTATAGATGTGTTCAGTTAACATTGTTTGTAAATTTGGGACCAATCATGTGACTGACATTACAACTTCCTGTTTATGGCAAAATTTTAAATGGCAAAAGTTGTGGCATCCCATACGCCTTGAGATAAGACTTCATCATTATCTCCTGCATCCGCTCGAACTAAATTAATATTTATTTTTGGGGTATTTAGTGACGAATGGGTGTAAGTTTCTGTAGTATAGTGGTTATTACGTTTGCTTCACACGCAAAAGGTCCCTAGTCCGTAACTGGGAGGAAACAATGGTAAGAAATGTTTGGACTGGTGATCTGTCCAGGGTGTACCAATGTGCGCCGGAGATAGGCACCGGTGGACACCCCGTGACCCCAGAAATAAGGGAATAAGCGGGTTGGAAAATGAATGAGTGACGAATGGGATTTTTCAGGGAACCTAGTTGACCCATTAATTGGAAAAAGTATCAAAAATGTGATTTTAGAAACAGTAAAGACGACTACGAGCGAAGTTTTTGTCGACATACTGAGAGTTTCCCAAAGTCAAGTAAAACACAATTATTTTATTTATTTTTGGCTGAGATGTAGAGATGTGAGAGGAAAACATTTGATAGAGGTTCATTGTTGTGGCACAAGCAGGTGGATGAAAGAAGGCGTCACCAGTAGCACGATTCTAAAGATCTGTAACATCTTTCCTTCAAACGCCAGAAGAACATTGTGTTTTGAGATGAATGTGAATGGAATCTGTTCTTCTCAAAGCAGCACATTGTGTTTTATATGAGATGGACACAGAGCAGCAGCTCAGTGTGGTTTTCCAGATTACAGACATTCAAATCAGCCGAATCCAACATCTGGCATTAAACAAACCAAACAACAGCAGGACTGTTTCATTTTCTCACAGGAAAATTAATTCTTATTCTCAGTAAACTAGCCGCACTGAGGCTCAAGTATTTGTAGGCCACGCAGCTATACCAATGATAGAGGGTTCTGACGGGAAAGTAGTGCCCTCGATGATTGTGATGGATCCTGCATGATCGTCTTGTTGGTTTCAGGAATGGTGCTGTATGAAAGTTATGAGCCTTTCCACCGAATGCGTGCCATTTCTGTCCCTGGGACTTTATATGTATGATAAATAATCATAAATACATTTTATTACTAAGCAAAGTCTCTACTACGTATTATTCCTATTGCAAATTTAAGCTAGAACATTTGAAATATTGATTAAATCACTGAAAAGTAGCATTTATTGCTTGTCCCTAGACTCTGATGCTACACTTAACCATAAAATATAATGATTAAGGTCTTCTTTTTTTAGATTATTTTTTTTGGAACCGATAGGACTGTATGGAGAGAGAAAGAGATGTGGGTAGAGAAGGTTGGGAAATGACGACAGGTTTAGAATTTGAACCTGCGTCACAATGAGGAACCGCTTGTATGTGTCCGGCGCACCATCCGCTATACTACGGGGCCTGATTACAATTTTTTTGAAATAACCTTTAATTTGCATTTACATGTAAATCCCAATGTTTGTTTCAAAATACATTTATTTACACAAATATCTATATTTTCTTAGGTTATTAAAAAAACATTTTAGTCATGTTCCAAGCTTGTTAATCATTCCTCATCCCCCTCCTGAAAAACTAGGGAATTTCCATAAGTTTTTCAGCAGGTAGTTGCATCACTTGGATCTTTATAAGGCCAAGGGAAGAGCAAAGTTAAGTTCTTTCAGTTTCTTATGATTTTGTGACAATATCTTGGCATGTCATTAAAAAAAATCGTATCCTGTTACTCAAACTATTTTATTAGTTTAGTCTAACAATGCACATGTTTGGTAAATAACTGAATTTGCACAATTTTTTTAACACATGTGGCATTTTAGCATGTATTTGCTAATTGTTTGCTAAAAACTCAGTCTTGTTGCTTATATAAAGAATAAAGAGGGTTAGTGACAAAATGGCCTCCATGTTTTATTTGTAAAGTTAATAAAATATTTAAATACGTCACTTACCAATACAGTGTCGATCCCACACTGCTCAGATCAAATATGATCAAAATCTATCAGTGGTGTAATGAACTCCCATGGTGTAAAAAAGCACACTTTGCCCGTGTAGATTATGGGTGTAAAATTATTAATTACTCCGCCCACGACAACTTCTGTCTCAAGGAGAGACGATGCCATTTTGTCTGGTGATGGAGAAGTGCACCACCCTATGCCCCAAGTGTTATTTTTTCAAACTTTGAGATGTCAATTTAGCATTCTACATTCTACACTCAGTGATCTGAGCGCTGTTGAATTGTCGCGGCTACATTTACTGTGTACCCATTTGCAATACTTGAGTATGTTCCAGTGTTGCAAGGAGTTTAAGTCAGGGGGCTTTGAGATTCTCAACCAATCCTTGAATCTCCTTTGAGTTTCACCGATTACCATCCGCATCTGTGATTACCTTAATTCATCAGTGGCATCTGAAAGATATACCGGATTTGATCACTTTGTCTCTGAGAAACACCACACAGTAAAATCCTAAGAGTTAAATTAACTCTACTCAGAGTGTATTTGGTCCCACTCTATGTAGAGTTAAACCAACTCTGAAGGAGAGTTATTTAAATAAGTCTATTTGAACTAAACAGTCTATTTCTGTCTGTTGTTACTCTTTCTGGAGTGGACTTGGTCCCTCTCCGAATAGTTAATATTTAGTTTGTATCTCCATGCAGATTTGGAAAAACATGAAGAAAATAGATGATTAAATTACTCTTTCTCAGAGTCGGTTTAACTCTATATAGAGTGGGACCAAATATACTCCGAGTAGAGTTAATTTAACTCTTGGGATTTTACTGTGCATATATGGTCACATGGTCTGTCTGATTTACTTAAAAAAATTTCAACTAGACACTACCGTGGGAGTGGGCTTGGATCGGAATGGTACTTTAGGAAGAACGCACTAGGAGTTCATGGCTGTTCGTCTATGAATATGCCCGTGATCTGGAAGGCTTAGGGACCACGTAGCCTCTTGGTATTGTTTGATCTTTTTGCTGTGTAACTTAGTGTTTGTTTATGAATTGAGATGTTCAATCTTGTCACTAGTTACTCTCTAATCACTTTCTACAATAATGTTTAATGCTAAGAACTAAAGTATAACATTTTGTAATTTAAAAGTTTAAAGGGTTAATTATAACAAATGAGTGCATTTCTCTAATTATTGACACTTATTAATACATAGTTTGCAATAGATTCAATCAAAGCTATGATAAAGTTAAACAATAACCTTCTTATTAAAATATGGAGTCAGATAAAAGTTATATTCAATAATTAAAGTTCCCGTAAGCTCTGAAAGACAGAACACAGCTGAAACCGTCATTCATGGTTGAAACCATCTTTACAAAATCAACTTAAAAAAGACATTTTGAAAAGTTACGACAAGCAAAGGGTGCGCATTTGGTGAAATGGCTCATACTTTTAAAGATCCAGGAGGTTTTGTCACGATATGTAGATAGAATTTGGCACTAGTGCTTAACTTTTCTGGCTAATCAAAGAAGGCGTTTGTAGATTGCATCCGTTTCAGTCGTTGTATCAGAAGTTGTCAGGCAACAACCACAAACAAATTGTCAATTTCATTCGCTCCAGGGAAGATTTACCCATGCCAAATTTTATCTCAGTAAGTCAGTGTTTTTCTCCCAGCATGAGCTGAACCGCCAAAAAGCTTGAGTTTATCGGTGAGAACGACTATCTGAGTCTGGGAGCCCTCCTGCAGCTCGCAGACTGAAAACCAGATCACACATCTCTCATAACGAGGCTTCGGTCGCTAAACTTGCGCTGCTAGTGGAAAAGAATCGAATCTGACAGCAGGGCTATGCAGCTGTGAGCAATCACATTAACAGTCTCTTCGATTCTTGGTGTTGTGTACTTAACAAAAGGAGGAAATTGATGTGTCAATCGCTTGCTATAGTGCTGTTTGTTAAATGAAAACTCATTTTTTAAATGTCAAGAATTTTTATTTGATGAATTGTGCACAAGATTTATTTGCTTCTATTTTTGTTTCAATGACTTTAATCATTTATGCATCTTCTATAACCACTTATGAGGTTTTCTTTACTTATTATACAGTGCGGTAGCGTACATCACTAAAGTGGGGGTACTGTTGTGATGACCTATGTTTTTTTTGATTTACAACCAGGTTGTTTTTCATTTAAGCAACACATTTTCTTGTGGGGCATAGTTTGCTTTAGTCACGTCCGTGGCTCATGTTGCCAGATGCATTAATGGTGATTAATGATAATAATAGACCTTTATGAAATGACCGTACTTATAATTATATGCAGGGCTGGAATTAATAACACCAATAATACAATAGATCTGTTGTATATAAAATGACAATATAAGTGTACTCCAGGTCGGATGTGGTCAGTATTTTTGTTTTTGTGCCGAACAAAATTCACATCACAAAAATGTTTTTTAAAAATTGTGTAATAATCATATTTTTTAATCCTGTATATTTTGACGTGCACCTTATGTTCATTTAAGCATCAAAACCACTAAAACCGTTCTAATCTTGATCCTTTATTTGTCCTTTTAGCAAGGCTGCTGTGCCCGCCTCCAGGTAGATGAGAGTACCGAACAGGTAGAATACAGTGGGTGTTAACTTTTATATTTTTTGTCACACGCTTGTATCTAAATGGGGCTGACACTTTGAGAGAAGGTGTCTTCAAATGTGTTTTTTAGTATCTTTATAGTGTAAATCAGACATGTTATAAAGTGTCAGTAGTGTGCATCCCTAAAGTACTGTTGTAATAACCAATTTTTTTATGATTTACAACCAGTGTAATTTTGTATCATTCTCACACATTTTTGTTGATTTAAGCTACTTTTCGACACATATTCATATTCTAAATCCTTGGCAAGGTTCCTGAATGCTCTTTACAGTGGCTTCCATTGCCTGATGCAAAGTGATGCGTTACTTCCAGAATAAGTAAACTAAAATAAAAAAAACCTATTTATACGGATAACAATAAAATAAAAACATTATAAAAAAAAGGTTGTGGAATAATCATATATATAAATTTTTAAAAACAAGTTTTGACATGCACCATATGTTTCTTTAGGCATGAAAACCACTAAAATATGTTCAATTGTGGTCCATTGAATCCCTTCAACAACAGCATGCCAGCTCCAGGCGCTGCCTGCCTCACTGAATGTAATAAAACAGATTAAAAACAACTTTTTAATGGAATATATTTGTACACAATTATTTTTCATTCTTTTGGAAAATAAACCAATATTTAATTCTGTGTTATCA